ACGTTCAAAAATATTAGGATATAAATTAAAAAAAAAAAGTGTAGATAAACAGAGAAGGTAAAAGGTAGAGAAATTTTTTTAATATATATTTAAAGAAGAGAAATACCGTGTAAATCGTTATGCATTGATAGGCGCTTCAAAGGTTAAAGGTTGGTAATAAGTATTAAACCTAATGTGTTTAGCGGGCAGTTGGGTAAAAAGATTTATCCAGAATCAAAATACTTTAAGACAGCATTTTTTTTTTCATGGGTGCAAGCTATCATGAGCTCTGGACGTTTGTTCAGCAGGTTGGTGTCGTTTATAATTTTGAGTATGAATCTTTTTTTCCAGCAAAAACAGTTTACATCGGTCGCCGTGGCCAAAACAAGATGGATTTTTGGCGACGAAATTCCAATATACTACCGGTGTGTAGTTATTTGTTTTGATTTCCCAGTAAAGTTTTGTAAGTGCCGTGGCATTTGAATATTGTTTCTTGGTAAGAGTTATTTTATGGTTGTAATACCGGGTTTTCCAGTGGTTTGCAGTGGAACCAAAATAAAACTTAGTCTCGCTACTATGTTTAATACTAGACTTATAAATAACGTCTTTATTCATAAATTTATGATTTAGTGGACAGGCATTGTTTTTTCGACGATTACACTTTTTGTCTGTGTTAATATTATTATTGAGGTTGTTTAAGTATTTGTTTAATGTTATATTATTATGTTATGCTATATATTGTTGGAGTTTTTTTGGTGCAGCTGTAGCTAATCTTAATGTTGATCTTGTTGAAAATTTTGTTGAGCAATGGTATATGGCTGAAATGTTTGTGGATTAAATTAAGGAAAATTTTACCTACATTCGTTTTGACATTTTTGTTAAATGGCAGCTTAAACCAAATTATGTTGTTTTTTCTATTCTTATATCTATTGTTAGTATTCTTACTAATGATTATGTATTCTAGTTTAATTTTGTGTTTACTTTTTTCTAGTGAATCTACATATTTAGTTTTATATTTGTCAAAAACAATTTTGTTACTAAAGTTAATTGAGTGTCTGTGTTGTACAGATTTGTGCAAATTGTTTAAAATTCTTGGTAGGTGGTTGGATTCCTTGCTAATGTACTTATATTTATAAAGCTCTTTAGCATAAGGCATTTATATTCCTTTGAATAGGTCAAAAGTAGTGTCCAGAAAGTTGGTCACCTTAGTATTGGTGTTAGTGGTGATATTTAGTCAATGATCCTTGAAGAATTTGATAAGATGTTTTCTAAGTCGAGCTGCTTGTTGTGGATTGGTATTACGTAGGTTTGGTTTGTTTTGTTTTGCAATACTTTTAAAAAATACCAGCAATACAAACAGTTATACCTTCTTTGAAAAAAATATGACCAGCTATTGATTTCTTCAAGGAAAAATATTCCCAGAAATAAATTTTTGAAGAAAGACATATTACCAGCAATAAAAATTTTGTCGCCATTAAATAACCCATAGAGGTTGAGGTTGATAAAAAATATTCCAAAAAAACTACTGAGGTGAGGCATGTCAGAAATTAAAGAAGAAATTATTTGAACTTAAATATGTTCTTTAAAAAAAATACATTTAATAAATTAGTCATTCATTATCATTTCGCTGGCTTTAATTTTCCGCGAAAAAAAAATGGAATATTAAAGTATTGCTGATAATAATTTTTCCTTCAAAGATTATTTCTGGTAATAATTTTTTTTATTACAAAGTATTTTTGGTATTAAAACTTATTTTTACACAAGTTTGAGTGTGAACTATTTGCCCATAGCTGGGACCCTAACAGCAATTAAAAGGTGATTCCACGCTCCTCAAAACCTCCTGATCAGAGGCCTTGCTGTTGGACGAAGTTAATCGTCTTACCCAGGACGCGGATGTAGTTTATTGTCATACCCAGGACGATGGTGTTTGTAGGAAGATAACTCCGTTGTCTCTGTAAAGACCAGTATTCTTACTATCGAAAGTATACCTAAGTCTCCACAGTAGCATAATGTCAACTAATTCGCAAGCTTCTGCGGAATCGAACACTCTCATCATTATAGAAAAGTTTAGGTTGTCTTTTTTAGTCCACATAGAACCATCGTGGCATAGGATGGATTTCTCGGCTTGCGTAATGATGTTGATTTCCTGGTCAAGGATGGTGCAATAATTCTTGGCCAGGTTTATAGTTGCCATTAACAAGTCTTCTGTGATCGACGGGTTAAAATTTGAGATATCGAATTGCATAAAGGTGCATTCGCTTTTTCTTTTTATTTTAAAGAACCAATTGACAACATCCTTGATAATTGATAACAACAAAACAAGGTTATATTTTGCATTTAAAGCACATTCACTCGCCTTACTACGTTGCTTTTATTTGTGTGGGTGGTGTAATAAGTAGCAGCTCGGAGTGAGAAATTGGGGAGCCGAGTTCGAATTACAACCAGGTTGATCACATTCACTTACGCGCAATTAGTATTTTATTCTTTAAAATATATTTAATATTCTCTTGCGAAAAGTAGTATTCATATAATGTAAAAAGGTTGATAAGCCGTCAAAAATAAAATAAATTGATCGTTATTGTATATGTTTTCGCCTTAATAAATTATTTTTCTTTTACTGAAAACTGCATTCTTAAGGGGAAATTATGGCCAGAGAAATGATAATGAATGATTAATTTATTAAATGTATTTTTCTTTTAAAAGAAGATTTTT